CCCTACTGAAAAACAGTTCTCAGAAAAGTGCACAAGGACAAATGATTCTCCACTAGACAGAATACATGAATCTTAAATATTCAAATTCTTCCTGACAACAGGTTTTATTATCAGTAGTTGTCATCAACTAGTATTTTCAAGAGACAAAAGTTCACAAAACAGTATTTTTCAAGCATGAGAACATGTGTATCAGATTTGTTACAATATCTTGGCTGACCTGCGCTTTTCTCAATGCAAATAGAAAAGAAACTCTAAGACATCAGTACTACTTAAAATTAAATATATCTGTTTATGGTATGTGCAGTATAAAGGTACCTGGGCTAATTCACAGAGTGAATAGATGTGACTTCAGGACAGCACAGAGATCCCTGAAAAGCAAAGTAAATTACCCTCCAGTATCTCCACAAGGTATCTCTGCTGTGATCCAAAGTGTAAAGAATATCTTCATAATCTAGTGCAGACAAAAACAATTACTACATCTGCCAGGAGAGGGCCCTAACCAATGGTTCTAAATTGCTGTGAGACAAAGAATTCAAGAGTTACCAAAAGACAGACGGGTGGGGGGAAAAAAAAAATCTTAATTGGATTAAGACAATGTACCAGGGAATGGAGGGATGTTGTCAGGGTACATACCTGGGGACTAAAGGCATTCAGGTTACGGAGGAAATTGATCTAAATCTCTTATTTCCTGGATAAATACTCATCTAGGTCAGATGAGTTTAATGCAAAACCTACAAGCAGTTGATTAAAAAAATTCCCATTTTCTTCCCAAATCCCTGGGCTGCAAGATGTAGATAATGTAAAGCTAGTGCTGCAGGAGCCCTTTACCAAGTACATGTGACTACTCAGGAAAAGACTGGCTACTTGTTAATGTCTCCACTGGTTCAGTCAGCATGCAACTTCAAAGCTCTTAAATAGCTTACTCACTGCTGGCAAATTGACATTTCTGAAAAACTTAATCTTTTGGTCACCAAAATAACACGGACATTTATTAATATTGGATGTGGCATTTGTTAGGTGCCAGGATATCAGATCAAGTCTAATATGTACCCCTACACTAATCTATACCATAAAAGATAGTCATTATGGCCTTGCTTTAAAACAGGAGAAGTGCTACTAGTTCCTTGAAATAATGTCTACAACATCAGCTCTCAGAAGAGAATTCCTGGCCATCGATGTTAAGTGGGGGAAGGAACCTGAGGTCAGTCACCAGATGCATGGATAAGGACACTGCTTAAGACACATCATTCCCTGCCCTGTTTATTACCAGCTAGAGCTCTATCTAGCTCTCTGCTTAGCATGCAGTTTGTTTGAATTGCTCTTCTAAAGCAGGCAGTGTTACCACACACACCATATGGTGCACTCAGCATTTTAATGAAAAGACAGTAACATTTAACATCCAGAAACCTGAGCCCTTAACAGAATCAAGCCCTATGTGTAATCCAGGACAAGCACCTGGCAGACCTGTGAGAAATTAAGACTTGATCAACATCTCTATGTTTATTTCCACAGTTGCAGAAATAAATCACATTCTTACTATATTTCCTTTATCTCAATCAAATTCAGCAGTCAGCCTAGTTTGATTCTTCTCTTCCACCTGTTTCCTGTGCATTATAGACCTCACCCTCTACCTAATGACAAAATTCCAGTGTCAGCTTGAGGTACTGACAGTCTGCAAGATAAAATCAAGGAGTATGAAAAAGACAGAGAGAGAGAGAGGGAGGGAGGGAGGGAGAGAGATGTGCACACTCAGGAATGGAAGCTGGAGTATGCACTTTGTGTATGTAGGGGAAAAATAAAGAGAAACTTGACATTTTCTGAATTGTTATTTGCATGGAATTTGGACTGGGATTTCCTTTTTTAAAGTAGTAATTACATAAATGCAAGAAACAATTTTTCTTCTTGTACCACTAGAATATGAAACAAATTCTATTTAACACTTACTGTGACAGAATCAAGCCCAAAAAATTAGTAAGTATGATGATAGACATCAGAACAGTAACTAACAGAATTATTCTATTTTAAATTGAGGTGCTTTCTCTAATAACTTGTTCCTTAAATATTTTCTAGCAGGATTCAGACATGAAGCTTAGGACATCCCCACTGGAAGGGCAGCCTGGTTTGTATTGCTATCAACCTCAAGTGCAGCAGATGTATTGCCCCTCACACCCTTTCCATCAGGTCAGTACAATATGTAGACCAAAATCCCCTACATTTCTAGCACTATAATGTATAGTAGTTATGGTAATAATACAAAAAGACAGATGAAGCAATACCTGCTAAATTTGTGTTTGGGAGTCATGTTTGTATACATACATTTTGTTTATGACAATGAGATCTTAACAGAATCACGTCTAAATGCATTTTAAAATGGTCATCCATGAAGAAAAAAAAAAGCTCATAAAAATTGAATCTTGGTACTGCTTGTTTATATTTTCACCACTATGCTCAAGAAAATTGGCTTTGAAACCAGATAGATTATTAACATAACCATTGGCATTTCAGGATCCCAGGGAATTAACTGTGCTTTAACTTCAGTATA